AGTCAAATAGTAATAAAATACAAAATCAATTTGACATACTCTTAAAAATATTATCCTTTATAATTTTTGTAATAGGTGATTTTATTCTAAGGTCACTCAAAAATCATAAAAAATGATTTTAGGTAAAAGTGTGTTTATCTATGTTGCACATGAGTCTGAGAAAGAAAACAAATATTGGGCTGACATCCTCTTTATCTGTCTGACATCTATTTTGGGTGGGTTGACACAGTCTATTAACAATGCTTGGAATATTCACTAAAAAAATTAATGCGTTTGGTTGTTCATTTAATTTTTTTATATTAGGAACTGTAATAAGAAAATATTATTGTATAATAAAATTAATCAGTATATTTTAAACAAATATTTATTAAATGATAAATTAATTGAGCGTTTTAAAAATCTTTCAAATTCATTAAAATATTAACATAGTTTACGTTCATGTACAATTTGAAAAAAGCGAGTGACGTTCACGTAACATTCATTAAATACGAACGTGCATTCTTTCCAAACACTGATTATTATATTAGCAAATATGACTTCAAAAGAAAAACTCATGCTTCGTCGATGTGTCATACTTAGATATACTTTTTTTTAACTGAAAGATAAGAACTTTTTTAGGTCGATTCAAAGCCTGAATTTTAATTTTATTTTAATAGTGCTGGAAAAATATATTTTCAAGAATAATTTATATTTTGTATTATTCAAATGCATATTATAGCTTCTATAATTATAATTTTGAAATCAGGCCTTTGATCTAACCAGAAACATGTTTCTTCTTTTAATTAAAACAAAAATTAACAAAATCTGTCTAGTCTACAGATCATGAGTTTTTTCTGAAAAAAATGTTTTTATACCAGAAATACACTGGCTCTGACGTACTTTAGAAAGAATGTTGTCGACATCCAGTTTTAGTCCTGTTTGTCACACTCCCATCTGTACGCATGCCGTGTAGTAAAGCCATAATAAGCCAGATAAGGGCCCACAGTGGCCCCTAAACATGAATTATTATTAGTTGTTTTTACTTATTTGGCTTTTGTTTGTATAACATTGATTAAATGTCTAGGCCATATATACAGTTAAGGTGCCGACTTTGAATGCTCAGTAAAGTGTAGGAAGCTGGGTGATGAATTATCTAATTTTCAAAATTCAAATTATAATTTATAATAACAATAAATAATTGTATAAATAGTTTTTCATTATTGTTTATCTATTTTTTTTTAGAATTCTGCAGTTAAGTGTCAGCCTGAATCAAAATGTCCAGAATTATTAGCCAATTATTGTGATATGTTATTAAGAAAAACCCCTTTAAGTAAGAGATTAACTGCTGATGAGATTGAAAGTAAATTGAAAGATGTGGTATGTATGCAATTTAAACTAATTTTGGTTTAATTTGCTAGTAATATTCGTATTTGTTTTAGCTACTTGTGTTGAAATATGTTCAAAATAAAGATGTTTTTATGAGGTTTCACAAAGCACATTTGACTCGTAGATTAATATTAGACACTTCAGCTGATTCTGAAAAAGAAGAAAACATGGTTGAATGGTACAGTTCATCAAATAACATGTTGGACATTTATATTTAATACATGAATGTTTTTATAGGCTAAGGGAAGTTGGTATGCCCGCAGATTATGTAAATAAACTAGCTAGAATGTTCCAAGATATAAAAGTTAGTGAAGACTTAAATCAACAGTTTAAAGAAACTTACAGAAATCTTAAAGGAAGCATTGCAGGTAATTAATTTGTATTGAGTAGAAGATAATTTTTAAAGGACTATACCACAATATCTAACATGGATATTCTAATACTATCCATCTCTTGCAATCTAGTATGTCAATAAACAATTATATAAGTGCATTGAGGCACATGATGAACCCTTAAACTTAACCAAACTTTGAATAAAAGTTGATTTATTTAAATAAATGTATGTAAATAATAAAAGATTTAATATAAATTAATTCAAAATTATTAATATTGATGGATAATTTGTTTATATTTATTTTGTTTTCAAATACAATGGCCAATACTAATTATAAATTCTTTCACTGATAATTGAATGTAGGCCACTCTAGAGCACAAGTTTTGTGAACATTCACCGGTGATGCTAAATTTACATATTTTTGATGTTGGATTCTCTTTATCTAATTTTTACAACACTATTTTAATTGTAAGGTAGTATAATAATCGTCCAGTCTTCAGACTATTTTTTCATATTTTCTCTGCCCTTGGGCACCATTAAAAATGCTTATTTTTAGTATTTAAATATTTTTTTAAATTCATAAGCGTAAGTAATTATATAAAGTAAGTTACTGGTATATGAAAACTTAACGTTGAATAAGTTATGTTTTAGACCATTATATAGACAATTATTTTTCTTTATAAAAGGTTGAATTTCAACTGCTATAAATGTAGTTCATAATGTTATTATTTTATTATTTTTTGTTTTTTCACAATTTTTATTTTTAAAATTGGTATAAAATATGTAAATAATGACTACATTATAATTGGTAATTTGTAGATTCTATCAATATTAAAATATTGAATGCTGGAGCTTGGTCACGAGGCAGTGAACGTGTTACAGTATCATTACCAATGGAGTTAGAAGACTACATACCAGAAGTAGAAGATTTTTATCGGAAAAAACATAGTGGTCGAAAATTACAGTGGTATCATCACATGTCTAATGGCACAGTAAGTGCATTTTGTTTGTATAAAATATAAATACATTAAACAATGTACATATTGCTTACATTCAAACAAAAATAATGTATGCAGATAACATTTTTAAATGAAATTGGCCGGTTTGATATTGATGTCACAACATTCCAAATGGCAGTATTATTTGCGTGGAATCAAAGACCAAAAGATAAAATATCTTATGAAAACCTTAGATTGGCTACAGAGTTACCTGATCCTGAATTACGACGAACATTATGGGTTAGTATATAAATACCTAAGTGAAAATTCTTGAACTTGTAAACTGAGTTTACCTTTACCTAACCTATGAAACACTTATTCATTTAATAATTAAACCGTTCTATTATATAATATATTAATAGGAGAAAGGGCAATTGGTATTTAATCATAGAAGGTTTTTTTTTTAAAAGTTTGTTTTGTGAATGGGTATTTTTAAGTTTCTTTTTGTTAACCAGTAATTGTTTTGACTGGATTTCACTTATCTGAGCCATTAGAAATTTTTTCTACAATATTTAATCAAGATTTTCAAGGAAGAAATTGTAGAATAATAAATGTTTAGACCATATTTGTATTATATTTTATTAATTAATTTTGAAGTATACATTTGCCCTTTTTATAATGTTTGTATAAGCAATTTTTTAAAGCAGCAGTTCACAAACTTTTAGTTGACACCACCCTAAGAATTAAAAAAATAAACTGCGCCTCCCATAAACAAATTACAAATTAATAGTATTTTAAGATGCAAACGTTTTTGTTTTTATGACAATATAAGTCAACAGTAAATATTATCAAACTTTAATTTAAAGTATTCCAAAATATTTTTATTTTTATGAAAAAAAAAAAAAACAATGGTTATTAATATTTAAACTTAATGAGAACAATATGCTTGTTTTCCGTATTATAGTAATTCAAAATAAGGTAGCAATGGATAATGATATATTTTATGCTTTGTTTTGGATTATTACAGCTATTATTAATACATTTAAATACATTTTGTTTGAAAATATACTTATTTTTCATTAAGAAATGTAAATATTGACAAAATATGTATAAATATTAAATGTATTACGTATTATATTGTATAAATTTGTTTCTAATTTTAGGTTTTGGTTTAGCTTTGAGAATGTTTTTTTTAAGACTTTAGTTTTGGTTTCTGTTAATTTGTTCTAATGCAAACAATATTTATAGCTGTTTTAAAGTATCAGTTATAAATATTAGGTTGATATAAATATAATGTAATTTTTGTTATTTTCAGTCACTAGTAAATTTCCCAAAATTAAAAAAACAAGTAGTGTTAGTTGTGCCAGAAGTACCATCTCCAAAAGAGTTCAACGAGAACACAATATTTTGGATTAATGAACAGTTCTCTATAGTGTAAGAGTGGCTTGAAATACAATATATATTATTACCAGACTAAATATTACATTTTTTTAATAAAATTAATTATTTTAGAAAAAATGGCAAACTTCAAAAAAGAGGAAAAATAAATTTAATCGGAAGACTGCAATTATCGACTGAACGCAGTAAAGAAGAAGATAATGAATGTATTGTTCAATTACGAATATTAAGAGTCCAAGTGAGTGTTTACTTCTAATTCTTTCATATTGAGCCTTGTATTGAATAAGTCTTTCTTAACTATTTACTTGTTTTTCTTTAGGAAGCGATTATAAAAATATTAAAAATGCGAAAACAAATATCAAATTGGAACCTCCAGACGGAATTAGTTGATATTTTAAAAAATATGTTTTTACCAAGTAAAAAAATGATCAAAGAGCAAGTTGAATGGTTAATTGAGCACAAATATATGAAACGAGATGAAGATGATATTAATTTGTTTGTTTACATTGCATAATGGCCAACTAATAGTACCATATCTGTGATACTACATAAAGCTTTTGTGTAAACGCTACATACTAGTTAATGTTTGTTTTCATAGTTTATTTTTTTTTCTTTACCAAAGATTTTGGATGTAAATATTTATGTATAATTCTATGTACAAGTTGTGTTAGAGTATCACTTTGTGTATTGTAAATATTAAATAATTGATTATGATAATAAATAAATTTAAAATGATCAAGTTATTTAATTATGATTTATGTTATTGTAAATTTGTTTGCTAAAAGGGAAATAACAAATAATAAACATTAACATGATTTGCTATTTTTATTTGATTAGTATTGATAATTCATGTAAAATATTTAGAAAAAATATTTTATGCAACCTTTATTTCATGGTGGCAATAATATTTCAATCCCAACTCTCTATTTAAAAGTAATAAATTACGAAAATAAATGAGAAATACATATACTTACACATTTTTATTATTATTCATATTTTACACGCTATGAATGTATTAAAAACTTAAAATTTATGTTAAGTAATTTTAATGACAGTCTTAAAGGAAATAAATACTAGAATGATTAGAGATTTTGTCAAAAGTACAACCATTTTGAGAAAAACATGTTAAATAATGTATCCTAATAAACACTACAAAAAATATTTAAAATGTTTAGATTAATTATAATGATAAGTATTTAAAATATCAAATAAAATACACAAAGTTGAAAATATCATTAAAAATACATAGATATCTAATAAGAAAATAACACATTTAAAAAAACCATTTTATTTTTCTGGTAGCCTTGTATGAGGAATTGTAGAAACTGATGTTTTGATATTCTCATGGCCTTCAGCCACATGTAAAACAATGCCTGGTAAAGTATCGGTTGCAGCATGGATTTCATGGGGTTGACCTGAAACCAACAAACATTTATACTGATAACTATTGATCATAAACATTGTACTACTAGACAAGAAATACATGTTTGGAAAGCATAACAACATAGAGGGTACTTATAGATTACTCGATTTCTTGTACATATGGTAGCAGGGTAAGATATATAATATGCTGGATTGCATAAGCAATCACCAAACATGTAACAAATCATTAGTGACCTAATGATCCCTTAAACATGGTTTAGCAGCCCATGATTGGTCCGTTTTAATTTTATTGGGCCGTTAAATTAATAATTATTTCATGCAACCTGGCAATAGACATAAATTATTGTTTTTGTTGTTGTTGTTAAGACAGCCTACACCACGGCGAGATATCGTTACTCAGCCAGTTGTACAGTTCTTGTCTAGTAGTATAAAGATACAAACAATTGAAATGTGAGGTAATTTTTCATAGATATTTAGCACTATAAGCTAGTAATTACTTATCATGATGATTGTAGTTAATATTTATGTAAAAAATAAATAAATATTGTTAGCCCGTTTCACAAATTTTATGAAACAAAATGTATCATACATGTGTAATATGTAAGTATACATGAAGCAAAATTGTATAATCTTATTACCAGGCGTGAGGCTTGCTATAGCAGCTAGTAAATCATAATTTATGAGAGGCTCGCCTTCAGCTCTAGGTACCCAACCTTCTGGTGGTGATGGTGGAGGTGATATTAAAAACTGTTTTACTGGAGCCGGTAATTGTAAATGTTGATCTGCCGCATCAATTGGTGTAACAGGCTTTAATAGATCCCAATGTTAGTTTAATCTTTTATTTATAGTACAATTCAAGTAAAGTTTACCTGTGCAAAGTAACAATTGATTATTGTGTCATAGAACCTTATTTGATGCATCTGGATTCTGGCAGTGGCAGCAGATACTGAAGTGCCATAGTTAACCCTTAAGCGCTTGAAGCTACGGAAATATTGAACAGAAATTATTTCTCCAAACCGACCAAACAGCATTTCCATTTCTTTCTGCAAAATTATTGTAACGATAGTATCAACAAATGAAAATTACAATTATTAAAACAATAAGATACTACCTTAAGATCGTCGTCCTTAAAAATTGCAGGGTCGACATTTGTTACAATTAACGATGTGGGCAAATCTTCATCATTTAGATCATCCAACGATGATTGTTCAGAGGTCACGGCTTTGTATAAATCATTTTTTTCATCGAGTAAACTGGGTAATCCATCGACTTCATTTACGATGATCTCTCTATCCTCAAGTTCTTTTTGCTCGTCCACCATCATGAGATGCACACTGCATAAACGATTGTTGAATACAATTTTTTGTAAAAGAAATCTCAAGCAAGGCAACCACAATAATATTATAATATTACCGTGAGTACCTAGCATCGAATTTTAGGAGATACTTACCACTCACAGTCAACGAGAAGTTTTCGTTTTAGTGTACGGTTACCGTTTTTAAACGTCAGTCATTGTTTCGAACTGGAAGTCACTAATACAATCTTTATTCGGTTTTCGATGTTATTTTGATGAATGTCACTTATCAGCGTTTTCCTAATCCGAAGCTGTCGTGATGACTATTGATGGCCGATGGGACGTCCACCAGACACGACGTCATCCAGGGTCCGACCAGCCGAGGTTTACGCGAGATAAGTAATAAGAAAATAAGTTATAATTAAAGAAGATGACAATAGTGAATGCTAGCCTGCTGATTAGTGCTGAACTGCTGGACTTTTTATGTATACCATGAAACACTTGAAATGGATACGGGACTTAACCGCAGTACAGACTTAAATCATTACTGATAACGCTAGCGCCAGCCACAGACTTCTAAGGGCGCCAGCAGCTGATTCATCTTCGGTTGTAAATGTTGTTGTCGGGCCACCCTGGATCATTACTTATCATCAATGTTTATATAATTTTGAATTTTTATTATCGTCCAATCATCCCTAAAAGAGTAAAATGTAAACATTGTTCAATTTTCTGGAACTAGACGAAAAATGTATTATTACTTAACTTAATATTTTAGTGTTTCCATTATCATTGTAATCTCACTCAACGTTATTTCACAATCGCATAACAAATTACAATGTCCGAGTACAACAAAGTCCGGGTCTCCAAATTGGTATTAAAAAACGAAAAAGTCAAGTAAGTCGAAATCACAGTGGTTCAGTTAATATAAGTAAATATTTTCTGTGAGACAATAATTTTTTTTAATTAGTCATTTGAGCTTCTAATTGCTATACAACTTGAAGTATGTAACTGTAAATTATGAAGTATACTTACAATTGTGTCATAAAAAAGAACTTAATTTCATATGGGTATATATGAATATTGAATGAAAAACCTAATAATAAAATAAAAATCCATTTAATTATTTTCAGAAAAAAGAAGAAAAAAGACAAATCTAAGAATAAAGATGAAAAAATTAATGTTGAAGAAAACCAAGATAAAATTAACCATGGTACATTGACGATTAACCAATTTGTTCAATGTATGAAATCATACAAAAATATTTTTATTTTTTATTTACAGGAAACTGGGCAGAAGCTAAATTAGTAAGCGAAATTTCAGGACCAGTAGCTCTTGAATTTGGTTCTCAGACCTATGTTACTGCAATGGACAATGGCCTCTTTACATTAGGTCCTCCTCATGATGAAGGTTAGTACTCTTTACAGTTGCTTCATTTGTTGGATGGCAGTGTATTTTTTGTTTCTTTTATATTCCTAGAAACCAAATTGTAATGGGGATGGTAGTTCATTTTAAATTTATAAAAATCATCTAATTTTTTTAAATTTATTGTAGTTTTATTATATATTTTTGAAATTAAAATGTCGTAAAATGGAATAGGTAGTGTATAAAAAAAATTTAAGAGTATTAATAAATAAACAATTTTGGAAAATAAATTATAAGACTCAGTAAATATAAATAATATAATTTAAATAAAAATTGTTTATTTTATTTTTATTATTAATTTTAAACTTTTAATGTAAAAATTAATGTACCTATTTGTTTTTATTTTAATAGGAGACGGTCCTTTACCAGAAGAAATCTTAACAGCTATTATTGTCAATGAAACAAGAATTGCTTTAAAATCTGGTTATGGTAAATATTTAGGTGTTGATAAAGATGGAACTATAGTTGGAAGATCTGATGCCATTGGACCACTTGAACAATTCGAGCCAATTTTTCAAGTAATAACATTTAAATAGCTATTACAAATTATAGTATTATGATATCAATAAATAGTTATATGTTATATAATTTAACTATCATACTATTGAGTTATGTAAATATTAAACTAACAATATATTTTTCTAGTCTTAATAATTTATTTGATCAATATCAACCTAAAGAATATTTGTTTCCTTCCTAACTATTGAAAAATCAAACAAGCCTATTTTAGTTTGTCAATAATACTGAAAATAATATTAAGATATTATTTAATTTTTAGGTATTTAAATTTAAATTTAAAATAAAATAAATATTGGTATAAGTTTTATTTCATTGATAAATTACAGGATAATAAATTGGCAATCCTATCTTCTACTGGATGTTTTATAAGTATACGAGATGAAGATGACTCTTTGGTTGCAAAAAATCGAACTGCTGGGCCAAATGAATTAGTTAAAGTTAGACTTCAAGCTATTGAAAATACAGAAGAAGAGATCAATAAATTGGATGAAAAAAAAGGGAATATTAAGGACATAGAAAAAAATTATGTGTAAGCATTCTCATTTTTTCTTTTGCCCGTAGTATTTAAATTATACATTTATTACATATTTTTAACAATATTATCATACTATATACAGTTAAATTTATATTAAAAATTTTTCTTGTTAATATTTTATCTTTTAATATCACAATTTGTTTTTGATATTGTTAAACCGTGGGGCTCATTGCTTTAGCATTACTTACCCTGTATAAAATACCCAAATGTATTGTTTTATAATCATGTTTATTATTTTGTTAGAAAAATGTTCCAAAAATTTCAAGATAAGAAGATGCGTATGATTGAAGGAAAAAGAAGTGAATTAAAGAAAGCTCAGCAAGAAGGAAAGTTACATGAATCATTATTAGACAGAAGAGCAAAGACAAAAGCAGACAGATATTGTAAATAGTATCCATCTATACATTTTTTAATTATATTTTTTTAATGTATCAATAGGTATAATTTGTAATCCTCTAAAAGTTAATATCTAATGAAATATTGCAATTATATATGTCTAATGCCTAAAATTTTTTATTTTTTTTTATTGACCCTCGAGCCCGACGACTATGGTCATTAGCCGTTTATAGAGTAATTGTGGAAGTGGTTGGGTATGGTATGGTAGGTTTTAACATTTGAGTGTTCGTGTTTTGCAGAATTTTGATTTGGAACTTGTAGGTTTCTGCCATACCCGGTCGGGGGATGGCAGCCTCTCTCTCCAAGCAGATATTTGCCCGGAAAAAAGTGCCGCCTGTGACCGAGGTTCAAACCGGCGACGATGGTCGTTGCAACTGATACCTTAGTCTACTCGGCCACTCCGTCTCCCCTTCTATAAATAAAGGAAACCTCAAAATATTGTTTTAATTACCTTGTATAATATCTACTATTTAGGTGTTATAGCTCAAAACCACTTCTCAATAATTTTACAGTATGTGTTCACGAAAAAGTTTTGCTATGTTCCATCATTTGTATGTATAAGAGACTGGCTTACTAATCCTAGGGTTGTGTGGTATCTTGGAACTATTAAACGTAACTTCATTATTTACTTAGATGATTAATTAGTATAATATTATTTATTAAATTACAATTTTAATTATAATATTTAGTATAGCTATTGTCGCCTATTGACTACTCTGTCAGCTCTATTTAGTATTTTTTAGCTGTACATAGTTATATGGTAATAGTAAATATAGTGGCGTACTACCATGTCTATAAATGGACATATTTCATTTTAAATACATAATGTATAGGTAAGCATAGACCTTGTCAACATATAAACAGCTATGAATAAGATTATAATCTCTTAAGCATACTTAGTGTTTAATGAAGCATTTAGGTGCATACTACATTATACAATCACAATGACAGTTAACGTTATTAATATAAACTTAAATTGACACTGAATATATTAAAACCATTAAATTGCGTGTATATAAATGGTTTAAATATTAATTAAAGTGTCAGATTGTCGTGAAATCTCTGTTGCAGTGCTACGGAAGCAAATGCAGAATGTTAAGACTAAAAAATTATCGGAAACAATAAGATAAAATTTGCATAAAAATATTATAACAATTTCAAGGGTCGTTAATATTTGTGCGATGAACTATCGGGATCATAATGATAATGAAATCATCCATGGTTAATATTAAATCGTTTTTACAACGATTATAATATATAATATGAATGCATATAGATACCTATATAATTATGATCATAAATCATAATTCATAGATATAATATAAATAAACGGTGCAGCCATATGGGTACCTGTTACTTATTAGTTATTACATAATATGGATATTGGATTTGGATTTAAAAGTATATGACTGGCACGGTGACCCATATAGATTTTGAACGAGTTCGATAAATCTACTGAGTACTGACCGATGCTATTTTTTTTATAGACTTCGACACTTCGCAGTCAGTGGGAAAAGTTATTGATGATAGGTTCTCAAATATCTATTAGAAAATCAAATCTTCGTGAAAATGCAGTTACGGAAATGACTCATTCAGAACGAGTAAACATATACGCAAACGCAATCATAATTTTTTTTTCCATTATTGGCTATAGCTATAACAATTTGGGTACCTATTTTCAAAAATTACTAAAATACAAACATTCAGAAATATCCACTAATTTTAAAACACATATAGCCTCATACAGGTTAACTAAGTTTAAAGGCTTGTGGCTTAAATATTTACATGAATACAAGAGAGCAAATTAAAGATAATAATTGTACACGATAGTGGATCAAAAAGTAGTGGTTCAAGGGGAAAGGTAGATTTTTTCAAATCATGAAATAATAAATATCTAAGCTAAAATAATAGCTAATTGTCCTTCCATATTAATTTTTTTTAAACAAAATTGTATTTATACTATATGTATTATGTATGTGTTTTTTTATATTTTTTCTTAGTATTATTCCCATAATTCGATTATATCACAACGTATAAAATTTTTATAATTTTTTATTTTTAAAGGCAAGGAAACCAATAAAAATAAACTAAAAAAAACAATTTCAATCACAATTACTAGATAGGTCTAAATATAGAACGTAAGTCTGGTAAAATGGGAAGAAAAACTTGGTATTTATAGCGTAGTATGTACTCAGACAATAGATATTAGGGACCAAACCATTAAACGAATATAGTACACTAATACTTGAAAAAACGGGACCTAACTAGTACCTAAAGTCTAAATCTTGGAGACTTGGACTCAACTAGGATGCAGCCAATTTAAATTTTGCAACGTTGAACTTAATATTTATTAGTTGGGCTCTGCGGTCTGCAAGTATAGGATACCAGGATTGGCAGGAATGCAGGATTACTTATATAATAACAAAACCATTCATTTTATTATTATTATAGTATTTATAATCAATGATAATACCTATACCTACGCATTTGATTTTTGTACACATTTAGATTAAAAAGTGTAAAAAATAATCTACCATTAGGTACACAAGCAATAAGTTTCCCGCTTCCATATATTTTTGTTAAATTCTGCACATATTAAAATATTTGTATAGGACACTGAACAATAGATATCAATTGAGTAGTAGGTA